GGAAAAAAAAAAGTAAGAATACTTGAAAAATTATTTAAATGCCATTGGTGAATTATTTATGTATATTGATTCATGACAAAAACCTAGTTTTAACCCTTTACCTTACTAGATTTATAGGTTTTAGTCTCCTCATCTTATACTATGACACTTTTAGCTTTTCACCTATTAGAATTAAAGAAAAATAGTTCTCACTTATAATATTTTGTTAGTTCTGTTGGTTGACTGTTAATGTTATTAGTTGACTATTAATTAACTGTTAGTTAGTAAAAATCTACTTTCAGTTAATAAAATTAACAGTCAATTAACAGAACTATCCTATTAACTGACAATTAACTGTATTAGCTAACTATTAATTAATTATTAATTGTCAAAAACCTACTTTCAACTAATAAAATCAACAATTAACTAACAAAGTTAACAATCAATTAATAGAACTAACAAAATATTATAAAATGAGAGTTATTTTTTTTAATTCTAAGAGATGAAGGGTTTTCGTAGGTTCCAGTGGGGAATTGGTTCCCACGGTGTGTTCCTACCAAAACCTATATATATAGTTGCTAATTTTATTCCTCTGCCCTAGGTGCATACCAGAATTGCTAAGTTTACAATTTTGTATGCCAGTGCTTCCTAATTGATAAATTCAATTGCTTGACACATGGAACTATGTTTGTGATAAATTGACTAACCCATAGTTGATCTGGTACCCGCTAGAGACTAGAGAGGCTGTAGTTACTGCTACAAGACATTTAAAATTTGATTCTTCTAATTAACCCTTTCTTTGTATAATTTGTTGATAGAGGAAGTAAACAGAAGTTCCTTGTTTTCACTGGTTTCAAACAATGTTTAATGCTGTGTGATGTTGATATATTTTAAATTCATTTTTCTGGTCGGAAGATTTTTCTGAAACTCTGAATGGACTCTCAAAATTAAATTTGCTACCTGGAGTTGATTTTATCATTGTCCACTTGTAAATATATTTATAGTTTGAAGAACGGTGTTTAAATTCAGGCAAATGAAGGGGAGGGATCATTGCCTTGGGACAAGCACAAGCATGTTTATGATCTAATGGAGAATAACAATTGGGCAGTTTGAGCAAATTGCTTTGAGGAGGTAAGGTTTTATATTTTGTTTGGTTTTCTTGTAAATTGTTACTGAGTACATTTCCTCTGGTATAGCTTGATATCTTCCTATTCCAATTACCTTTTTTATGAAAAGAAAGAAATACACTCCTTTTTTTTTTTTTGAGGGGGGGGAGGTCGTTTAACAGTACAGTCGTAGTTTCTGCATTCTTAAACTGGTATGTCCATCACTTAACGAGTCTCTTTTTGTACTTTCTTTTCAAATGTGAGAAAAATATTCTACTGTTGACCAATCCATTCTAGCTTTCTTTTTCTTCCCCATCTGGAGCCATTTTCCTAAACAAATCACCAATATATGTATTTGGATATATGGCACCTTTAAGCCTTGACTAGATTGGTTATGCCACAGTAACATCTCACATACAATTTTGCCTTTAGAATCTGTGCTGCTGATAACAATTGTATGCCACGTTCCATGTTTCCCACCTTGACTTGACATAGGATTTTCTATAATGGTTGCTACATGTAACGACATTGGTTGAAACTTGAAATGTTATCTAGGAGACTTTCATTTAAGCCAAATATCCAAGCTTTTATTCATTATGTTTTAAGATATTGTTGTTGGGGAGGTGGGGGTGCTGCGTCATCATTAACTGAATTTGCTTCATGTGAAGAAGATTGTAGGTGTGATTTGATTTATTCTGAAATATATATAAGTCATTAATTTTTTTTTTCCTGATCAATATATAAGCCATTAATTTATTGAGGACTTGAGGAGTGTGAGGGCAATGACTTTTTGAGGTCATCACCATCTAAAAATCACCAAACTACCATGCATTACACATGTTCAGGCAAACCTTCCTCATGAACCCAAAACCAAAATTAGTCATAGATTATGGATTTCTTCTAATTTTTGTATCGTAAAGGATCAAATTTTAATGTCATGTCTCTCAAAATTTGTATGATATAACATTATCTTCTTCACTACTGTTGGATAATCCTGATATTATCTGTCTCTTCCTGTCAGGATTGTTGTTTATATGTACTTCTCTTGGTTCTTACCTTTCTCCAACAACTACAAATCTGGGAGGGGACGAAACCTGAGGGAGAGCACTAGGGGGTATTGGGTATGTACTAAAACAAATTGGCAGTTAACTTTCTTCCTCCAAACTCTTTGCACACAGTTTTTTTGGAAGGATAATTCTAAGATTTAAGATTTATGTGTTCACAAACACAAAATCAAACTAGGGTAACAAGTGTGTGATATTAGTGATTCTCAGTTCTTCTCTTCCTCCAACAACTAGAAGCTGAGAGGGGATGAACATCGGGGTATCTGTTAGGGTATTTGGTATGAACTAAAACAAATTGTTAGTTAACTTTCTTCCTCCAAAATTTTTGCACAAATTTTGGAGGAAGGATAATTCTAAGATTTATGTGTTGGTAAAATCAAATTAGAGTAACTACTGATATTATTGCAGGTTGGATGTTGCGGAAGGCTGCTTTAGGACATAGGAGGTTTGTAGTAATTTCATTGCTGCCTGTGTTCTTCTTACCTACAAGTGCCAGAGCTCATGGGCGTGCTGCTGAAGATCCATTATTAGTAATTATAGGTTTTTACTTTATTAAGGGAAAGGATTAAAAGTGTTATAGTATAAGGTGAAGAATTACAACCTATAAACTTATTAAAGTAAAGAGTTAAAAGTGTCATAATATAATGTGAGAGATTAAAACCTACAAACTTATTATGGTAAAGGACTAAAAGAAGATTTTAGCCCTAAATGTTTGAATATGAACAAATCAATCATTATATTAATGGTGAAAGAATAAACCTCCTTTGGTCATTTACTTTAGTAAAAAACATTTTTAGTCTCTTTATTTTAAAAAAATCCCTTTTAATCCTTAAAATTCATTATTTAGCCTCTTTTTAGTATTTTCATTATCTTTTTGCACGCAAAATATATTAGATGATAGAAATTTTAAAGTAAATGGACTAAAACTAAAAGCAGATTTAAAAGTCCCTTTTCATCCTTCAACTTAAAAAAAAAAAAAATCCTTTTGAGTTTTTTTACTTTAGAATTTTTGTCATTTAATACATTTTGTGTGTAAAAAAGGATAACAAAGGGACTAAAAATGAGACTAAATAATAGATTTTATGGATTAAAAAGAAGCTCTTTGAAGTAAAAAGGACTAAAAAATAATTTTCTATTAAAACAGATGAATCGAAATAGAATTTTAACCATAATAAAATTACTTACTATTAATGTAAGTTAAATAATTATTTATTTTCTTGCTTGCCTGGTAATTTTCTTATACTTAGATGCTAATGTGACAATTTTTTTATTTTTAAATACTTAAAGAATAAAATTCGAGCTTAAAAGCTAAACAAATGAGCCTTGTGCAACAGTCAACATCTAAGTGTAAAAGTAATTACCATGTAAATGAAAAACACCAATGACTATTTAATTTATATCACCATATGTGATTATGTTGTTAATACAGAAATTAATTTGCTCAATCGAGGGGTATAGGTGTTTGTATGTCACTTTTTCCTTCAAGAGCTTGTGTAAAAAAATGAGAAAAGTTTAAGAACTTAAGATTGAATTTTGCTTATAAAAAACTACATCTTATCAATTATTAATAAAACATTAAAAAAACACCAAAAATAAGATAATTTAATCATTTTCAAGTTATTAAAACAAAGTAATTTAAGAGTATTTTTCTTCATAATTTTTAAAGATATGCTATAAACAATTTCCCTTTACAGTTTAATATTTACCATATCAAAGTGAAATTAAGCAACAGAAGCATTAATTGCAGCTTACAAGAAACTAAAAATGTAACCCCATTGCTGCAGGTGTTAGATAACTTAGTGTAATCGCACCAAACCAGATATCCTTCTTCAGTCCGCATCTTCACTTCGGATGTACCTGCAAAGCCCCGAGGTGGAACTCGGGGTAGACACTCCGATGCTTAAGTCAGCAATAATCGGGACTACCTTTAGAGCGGAGATAAAAAGAGCTTAGGGTTGGTTTCAATTACCTTTCTGAGGTGGCCCTTGAGGGGTATTTATATGTTCCAATGGAGAGCCCGTGTTGGCCTGCCAAGCGAGATACTCGGGACCGGGAATTTGAGACATATTCAGGTGTGGGCGTACGCACCATAACTATTGTACAGCCTGTCATAAGAAATCAGGTGCATGCCTGTTCACGGTAACTATTATGCAGCTGGGTTTACTTTTCACTTCGATTGTTGAAGAATTATTTAGTACGTCCGAGGTGGGCACCTCGGACCTATCCTTACACTTAGATTCCATAAAGCACCAAGGTCTCCACTACAGTAATTAAGAGATTAATGTAGATCTACATCCAGAAGATGACAACATTCAACTTGATCGGGAAGGAACAAAGGCTTTGCCTCTACCCGCAACCAACATTTGGAGTCAGTACTTGCAGGACAAGAAAAGCGTGGAATTTGTTTCAACACACGCCGTAGTTGAAAATGTGACTTCAAACAAACAGGGTGGAATTTGTTCGAAAAAATTGGAAATGGGACTTCTAAAAAATTTCCACGTGTTATTGCATTATTTGATGCAACTAGAAATGTTGGTAAAAACTAAACAGTCTAAATTTTGACGAGCAGTTGCAAGTTGAGGTCTTGACATGTAGTTACATGAGGATTGACAGACACAAAAGTGAGAAGAACAACAAGAGTTACGAGGGCGAAAGGATATGTCACGCAATCATAGCCACCCAATTCCATCCTGAATGATTTTTTATGTTGCCCTGAAAATGGAATTGATTAATAGACATGAAGGGTGAAACAGAAGGAACTGGAATCTAGGAGGCATAAGTTGGGTACATAAACACAAAGACAACAAGAGTATCTTCAAATATCCATTTCTCTTTCTAAAAATTTTGATTCATGGATCAACGATTGTCGGAAGCTGCAAGATTGGGAGATGTGGCAGCATTGGACAACTTGTTAAAACAAGATCCTTTAATTCTCCAGAAAGTGTCTTTATCTTCTTCAGTAGAAAATCCACTTCATATTGCTTCACTTGCAGGAAAAGTCGATTTCGCTAAGCAGATCATTGCGCTGATGCCTTCATTTGCCATGGAGATAAACAATGATGGATACACCCCGCTTCACATTGCTGCAGCCGCTGGTCATCTGGAGGTAGTTAGTGAGCTTTTAACTGCAATTGGTCCAGACCTGTGTCTGTTGAAGGACAAAGGGGGCAGAACTCCACTCCATCTGGCGGCTGTCAGAGGGAGGGTTCTTGTCATTGAGAAATTACTCTCTGTGTGCCCTAAGGCTATTGAAGAAAAGACCCCTCTTGGGGAAACTGCTTTACTTCTGGCTGTGAAGAATTGTCAGTTTGAAGCTTTCAAAATCCTGTTTGAAGCTTCAAAAAGGGTTGAGAACCATGAGGAACTCATCAATGCCAAAGATGTTCAAGGAAATTCAATCTCAGAAACCGCAATTGCCACAAAACAACTTCAGGTATGTACTAATCAATCTATTGTATGTTAATACTACACAATAATTTCAAACGCACACAGCACACACTTATTTAATCTAGTGTGTGCAAATTGATACAAGATACCACTTGACCGCTGCACTAAAGAATTTTAATTTAGTAATGATGTAATTGATTAGCTTCAAAATTGAAGTTTTTGGGGAAAAATTAAAGATCCTTACAACATATGAACTTGCATGGCAGGTTATAGACTTCCTAAAACAGAGAGATCAATGGACCCATCAACAGATGATCACTGTGCTGGAAGATCCGGCCGGAGATAACAAGTCTGAGAATGATGATACACCAGAACCCAAAAAGTTCGATCCCTGTTTTCTGTTTAAGGCGACGTGGGGTTACTTATACGGTAAAGACATAATTCCGGTGGTCGCCAGTTTGATAGCCGGAGCTACTTACACGGTAGGAATAAATCCTCCCTCTACAATTTGGAAAGAAGGAATGAATCTCGACACTGAATGCATTACCCACTTCGGAAATCACATAAACAATAAGGATCCCTTTGAGTTAAAGTCATGTGATGCTCTCCGATTCTATGTTTTCATGGTCTGCAACACGATTGCTTTTGTTGCCTCCATCCTGCTCCTCCCATTTCACCAATACGCGGTGGTTGCGCCGCTTCTGATCATCACTTCTCTGTCCTGCATGCTCTGGACTTACATTACTTCGGCGGCAATCATATCTCCCAGCCCTGCCTTCATTTATTTTGTCTATACTGTGATGTGCATCAGTTTTGTGGTTCTATTTGGGCTGCCCGCGCTCACTGTGGTTCTACATATCAAACCAGCTTTTGGGAAGATTCAGACCAGATTCCGTCCTGGTTCTACCTCATCGTCAGTCCTTAAGAGCTAGGATTGGGATCGCTCTGCTTTGAGCAGGAGTTAATAAGGGTGGTGTGGATTGATGTTTATGTGTCCTTCAATATGCTTAATGCTGTCAGCAAAGTTAGGTGATGCTCTAATAATGTTTCAATTTAACCTTTTTAAATACATCTACCCATGCTATGGGATACCCTTCTAGTTTTTTTTAAGCACTTAGGACAAACCCATTTGTATGCAATTTAACATTAATTTATTTTCTTTTCGAGTTATGTGGACGTTATTTACGCTTAAAAACAAAGAATTAGTTTAATAATTTTTTTAAAAGATTAAATTTTAATTAAATAAAATAAAGAGTAAAATTATTTACCAAATAAGTCACAAGCCCTTTAAGTCTTTTAATTTTCTTTAAAGGTTTTTTTATTATATGATAGAGGTATATGTTAAAAATATATTTTTAGTATTAACTATTATTAAAAAAATAAAAATTAATTTTTTCAATTAACTATTTAATTAAAATAAAATAATTTACATAATATAAATGATAAAATTAATATCAAATTTTATCATTTTAATATTAATTAATATAAAAAGTATATTAATTATATATTTAATCCATAAGCTTAAAACACATGTCAAAAATCCTTTTTAAAAAACCCTTTTTCTTAATCCAATCTTGATAGTTCCAATGTAAAGTGAAGCTCTCAAGTTTTATTTTAAATGTTCTGCATTTTGCAATTCGTCGCGGAAGTGCAAAAATATCGATCTATAATTAGTGGGGTCCTTATAAAGCCAATAACAGAACGCATTGATAATGGGGTCAAGGTGGTTGTAGTGACCGAACTCTTTATTTTATGTATTGGGTATATGCTATCAATCCCAATTTAATATCCCATTATAAGACTGTAAAAAAACAAATACATTACCCTAAATTGGAAGCAATTAATTAAATTAGATGGTATTATTTGTAATTTATTGATGACCACTGCAGCTTCATCAGAATTGTTGATGAATTATACTTTTAATCAATAATTAAATTTAATTTTGTTAAGGACAAGTACTAATTTAATTTTTAATTTTTAATTTTTTTTAAAAAAATAATAAATTAAAAGAGCAAAACAAAACAACAAAACAACCCCACTTATTTAAAATTAGTTAAATTAAATGTGGCAGACATAATGATAGCTTTCATCTACCTAGATATAATTGCTTCCCGAAAGTGCTGAAGCAAAAAGTCACAGAAGGGTCACAACCATCAATAATGCAGAACATAACAAGTGTACTCAACTATAGCATCCCCTGTTTTCTGATCAAATGTATGAGTCCTGGCCTGAACATAACCCCTCGCAAACCGGAACAGCCCACTGCCGCCGATCACCGGCATCTCCCTCACCTTTGAAAACACCGTGTTCCTCCCCAGCACCGTGATGGTGCTGCCGTTGTATTTCCCTTCCGTGAAGGCGAAATTCATAGACATCAACAGCCCAATTTCTTCTTGCGACGCCAGAGCATAGAACCCTTGTGCTCTTCCCA